CACAGACACACAAAGTACACCCTCATCCCAGATTGATACCAATCATGTCACTGCTAATCAGGGTGCTTGGTGAACAAAGCTGTCAGAGGAATCCAATCATATCACAGCTGATGGAATCGTTTACTGTGGATGAGGACAAAAGATGAAGTACATGGTCGGCAATATGAATCCACCAGTTATTCTCGATTCTAGAAAAATTACAGACATAAGGAGCATTGTGATAATATGTTCTCAGAATGATCAAAACAGCATATTTTACAGTTGTAGAATTGAAGACGTCTCACAACCTGCCTGACAGCCCTTGTCAGCTCTACAGAGTGGTGGGAGTCCCCCAGACTCGCTTCAGGGTATCAGTGGTGACATTGTGAAAGTGTAGAGACAAAGGACTCAAATGAAAAGCTTATGGAGGTCTTTAACTTTCATTTTGTATCCGATGGGTGTCTTTATTCATGGACAAGATCTCACCAGACAACAAAATAGGTAGTTTGTCAATGCCTTCCAAAAAGACCCGTATGACCATTACAATAAGGACACGTAAGAGCATATTCGGCTTTTGCCTCTACTGTTAAGGTTTGGTTATAATTTAGGCAAGTAAATTATTCTCTTAACTCCTTGGTTAAGATATGCTTATAACTGTGGTTAAGAGAAACAAATAGTGATTGTTGGTAGATTAAAACTATAAACTTGAGAAAAAAAAAGAAACTTTATTTGTATCATCAAATACATGGAATTCAACCTCTCCATTGAACTCATCCTAAGCATTAAGAGCAATGAACTGCTGTAAAGTGTCCGGGGAGCCACTTGGGGTTCAGTGTCTAAGTCAAGGACAGTTTGTGATGCGGACTGATCGACTGAACCACCAACATAGATTAAAGGACAACCTGCTCTACCCCCTGAGCTACAGCCGCCCCATGACAGGATGCAAACCACAGTCTGTCTCTCTTGTCAAAGACAACCGGACACCCAACCAGCCTTCCGGCGCTTTCAACTAAGAGGTTTGGGGAAGCTTTACAATTTGCAAACTACTCCCACCTTGGCTACTTTGAATAGACAGCCAGACAAGAACATTGATATTGAACGATCCTGATGCTAACCCCAGATGATATTTTTATTTTTTTTATACCAGTTGCCGACCATTTTTAAGCTCTCCCTTTCGACTATATTCTCCCATGGCAACTAAGGATGGGTCAGGGTTAGAAAAAGCTGACAGTTATGCCAAATAACTGTTACAGTTGAAGTAAAGGTTAGGTAATTAAAAAACCTGGTACAGGAAGGATCCTGAACAATAATTGTGGAGAAGTGGACTTCACTCTCCCGCATGAAGGTACTCCAGTGTTATTTTGAAGTCTTACACAGACTTAATACATATCATAGCCTGCAAGAGTTCATAGATGCAAGCCAAGACAATCAACTAGGCTATACACGCTCTGCATAAACATCACCAAGGCTAATATGATGTATAATAAGGCCACCCACACAACCACGCAACAACTATGTCAGAACTATGAACAAAATACAGCACGCTCACCCATCAATCCAACCCGACACACATGGGCAAACTCAAACCCATCTCATGTTCGCTTGTGTGTCGCTATACAACTCTTCACTTTATGCACAGCAGGTCCATCATAATTCAGCCGCAGTGTACGAGTCATTATTTTAGTCATCAGTAACCCTGATTTCAAAGAAAAAGAAAATATACTGCTTTTCAAGTTGTGCGGGTTAATGTCAGGATTTCTAAAATACACAGCATTTGCATTGTGCTCCATTTGCAACAGCGCCACCAATGAAAAGAAAAAGTAATTCTATGAAAAAGGAACCACCAAAACAAAATCTTTCTGTATTAATATTTGTGAAAAGATGTTCTGCAATGTGAGTAATGAATACCCCAGGTCGTAGTACGATTTTAAAAGACATTTTTTAGTGACAATTGCCAGTGATAAACCATTGTCACTTGCAATCATTGTCCAGGATTTTGCTATTGAGACTTGCATGGGGTCTCAAGTGACGAATATTGTTCGAAATTGTGAGGAGCAGAATCGTCCAATATGAATGTGATTACTAGATACAAGGCTGTACGTGGGAAGAATGAAATAACAAAGAAGAATCAAATGAGACAAACCCTGATAGACCTCTTTGTTCTCATTAGAACAAACATATCCCTATACTTCATCTTCAGTGTAACACAAACAACACCACGGAAAATAGAATGGCTTTAATAACTACAGTCAACCTTGCCAGTGCCATGCGTCTCCATATGGCTGCTCAGGCTGTGTGCCAGTTTGCCTTACTAAAAAAAATCATGCCTTTTAATTACATAAAACACAAACATGGCGTAGCCATATGTTGTTATGATCCCCAGCCTCAGTATATTTTAGAGTCCAGTCATTTAACAGATGCTCACACTTCCAACTCCCTTCCAACAAGTAGCTAAAAAAAGAGAAGAAGAAGAGAAAACAAATCTTAGAATTCAAAACATGGCTTTTAACAAGAGCACACAACCCTTTCAGTCTACTATTTTATACAAAACTCCAATTCAATCACATAGCAATCTTTACAAAGTGTGCTCAATTAATCAAGTTATCTCTGAATCCCCCCTGAAATATAATTTAATTGCATCAAAGCAGATCAAAACATCTCATCAGTCTCTGAAAGCCTTTGGAGGGGCGAAAATAATTATGCTGCAGGCCAAACCCGGACTGTGGGCACGGAGTTGTTTGGTACTCATCGTCTTGAGTGCCAGCCGTTAACCAGCAGCTGGTCAATGTCAGGTAGAAATACATGAACCTTTGACCTCAGGATGAAATTTAGAAAAAGAGTATACCAATCACACAAAGACTTATGGTATTGATTCTGTATAGCGACTTTTCAAAGTTTTGTGTGAAAATATAATTGTATAGTTTGGATTTGTTGTAAGAAACTCTTTTTTTGTGATAAGATAATGATTCTCAATATACAGTACACTTTTTGATGTATATTTTTTCGCATTTATCTTCTCTGAAGTCACAGCAATAGAGCCTTTCTTCTTGCTGTTTTTTGAAATGCAGCTACATATTGAGGTGCACTTGTGGTGTGCCATAGTAAATACATTTGTCAGATACTCAGAGGACTTCTTCTCACCCACTCTACACAAACATGCACATATGAAAGCAAACCAAAGAATATGTTGCTCCAGAAGCCCTGATGTAATTGATGTCGCCCTGCAGAGGCGATCCAGCTCCTGCTTTGGGAATCACCTTCCTCCGGGTTAAAAGCTGACATGACTGATATAACAGGTGCTGCCGTGTGCCGAGCAGACACCGGGGCTGTGTAGAGAAGGAAAAAAAGGACATTTAGAAGGTTGATAAAAGAAAGCAGGGAGAGGAAATGGATTAGCAATGGATAGATGGAGTGTGAGAAGAGAAGAGGTGAAGGGGAATTAGAGATGAGAGGAGACGAGAGGGCACTAGAGAGAGGAAAAAAAGAATAGATCATGAATGGAGAGAGGACGGGAACATGAAAAATGGAGAAGATGGATGCTCGGAAACGAGGTGAGGAAAAAGGAGGATAGAAGTCAAAGAAAAAAAGGATTAGGGATAGAGGGATCTATTGGAAGAGAGATGAGATGGGGACAAGGAGGAGAAGATTAAGGTGGAGTGATATGCTTTTATCTTCTAGTGTCTGGAGAGCAGACGGTAATGGTGTGTGTGTGTGGGGGGGGCCTTTATGATTACATGTGTTACTCTGTTTGTGTGTTTCTGAAAGTATGTGTTTGAGTTTGAATGTTTTATTTCCTGCTTGTGTTTGGTAACATCGTTTCGTCCATGTATGTGTGTGTGTCCACCTGTTTGAGTTTGTGTATGTTTTGGTTTGTGTGTCTGTGTGTGTGTGTGTGGGAAGGTGACAGTCTACATGTCGCTCATCATTCCTGGTTGAGTTAGAAAAAAAGAAGATTCTTCTAAATGTCTGCCCTTTATATCTGTGATCCATCCATCTGCTCCTCTGCAGAAAAAGAAGAGAGGGGGAGGAGAAACAAAGGGATGGATGATTGGGAGGAGAGGAAAAGAAGGAAGGAGGCAGGGTGGGAGGCTTCGGGGGTTGTTGGGTTCATGGATGGAGGGATGGATGGTGGCGGGGAGGCAGGTTGAATACCTAGAGTCGACCAAATTAAAGTAAAAGCAAAGTATGGATGAGTCCGGTGAACGAGGCGTCGAGTGAGCCAGGGAGGAGGGAGAGGGGTGAGAGAAGAAGAGTAGGGAAGGAAGGAGAACTGGAATGAGAGGCAGAGTTGTGACTGTAGGTTGATTTACGGAGGCTTTCCTTTTAATGAAATTGTTTCAGTGACAGAGCCGGTAAAAGGCCCTTAATGGATTGGCTGGCCTAATGTAATGAAATTACTCCCTCTTTCACTACAGAGAGAGGGGGAAAAAGAATAAAAGAGGACATTGGGGAGGAGGGGAGAGGGGGAGGAGTATGGGAGAGGAGAAATGCAATTAATATTTACAGAACTGACAAGCAGGGTGGGCTTTAGAAGCTTCGGCTCGCTCGCTCTCTCCTTCAGCGCGTCTACCTCTCTCGTCCCTCTCTTTCCCGGTGGCCAGTGTGCACTGGGCGTGCATCAGGGGAGGGAGGTGATAGGCTGACGCCAAGGCAGGCCACACCAGCACACCGGGCTCCTCTCTCCCGTTCTCCTTTTCCTCTCCTGCTCTCCTCAGGGCTGGCCATATCAGCGCTGAGGTGAGAGACTTAACCTGAGCTTCTGTGCTGTTGTCTGGACTGGGCATCCCCAGAGAGTGAGTGTGTGTAGGTGTGTGTGTGTCTCCTACCTGCCACCTTAAGCCCACTTCCTGGGATACCACCTCACACACACACCCCCACACACACTCATTCACGCAACCCGTCTTTTGTTAGTCCCTCCCCCAGCTGAGCGGACCTTGCAGACTTGCGCCTGACTCTCTCCCATCTCTCTCTCTCATCTGTGTGTGTGTCTGTGTGTGTTTGTCTGTGTGTGCTTGGTGCAGGCAACTGGACAGCAACCACATCAGCTGCATCGAAGATGGAGCTTTCCGAGCGCTGCGCGATCTGGAGATTCTGTAAGTAGAGAAAAACCCCGGTCCTCTCTTTCTCTCTGGCTCCCCCGTCTCTCTTCTCCTCCTCTGCCTCCTCCTCTCATCCCGTCTCCCCCCTTTTCCATGTCCTGTCTGTGAAGCAGGGATCTGTCCTGCGCTCTCCTTCTCTTGTTATCATCTTTGTTTTCCGTCTTATTCAGTTTCTTCATCCTTTCGTGCTTTCTTTTTTGTTCATGTCTTCCTTTCCTCTCCTCTCCTCTCATACTTGCATGTAAGAGATTCTTTCCCCTTGATCGACTTTTCTATCTCGTCTTTTCCATCTTTCTCTTCATACCCATTGATGTGTGTCTTCAATGTAAGAAAAGCTTCAAACTTAAACATGTTTTCATTGAGAAAATGTAGTTTCTTTACATGTTTCTGTGAATTTTCTTTCGTGACACCCCTTTGTGTGTGTTTGTGTGTGTGAGCTGAATGTGCACGTCTAAGTGCTTGTGTGCGTTGCTTGCAAGGATGAAGCGCAGAGTACCTGTTCATCCACCAGTAAAATGTGTTGTCCTTGACTTACAATACACTGATTCACACACACACACACACACACACACACACACACCTACACAGATTGAGGAATATAGTGCATCTGCCACCTGCTGTGGTTTGCGCTTTCTCTGCACCATGTGTGTTAGTGCGTGTAGATGATTCCCTCTGCATATGGGAATGGGAATACATTCATGCGTATTTGCTTCCAGCTGTGTCTGTGATTAAGTGTGTGTATGTGCGCCACTGTGTGCAAGTTTGTGTGTGCGGTCCGTCCACATTTTGTAGAGCTGCTCATTTGTCACTACGCTCAGAGGTGTGACTGGCGACTGTGGAATGCGATGTGCCGGGAAAAGTGTAGATGAAAATGTGTGTGTGTGTGTGTGTGTGTGTGTGTGTGTGTGTGTGTGTGTGTGTGTGTGTGTTTACATGTCGTGTATCTGCTCTCACACAAGCAGATGCTGTGCTTCATTGTGGGTTGTGCATCTGAACCACATCCTTAGCTCCAGTTCATTTTAATCAATGCAAACATTTCCCTTATGTGTGCTAAAATATGCAAGGGTGCATTCTCATGTCTTCATCTTATGAAACACTGAGCTGGAAAAAAAGTTAACAAATAGGGATCTTTCTTTTGTTTGCACCAGCATTGGTTTAGTTGTCTGTAGCGTTGTTGGCAATGCATTTCATATTCTGCTGTATGGTGCCGAGAGGTGAAAGGATTAGTGGCATTGTTGCTGAATAGGTTTATTAGAGGGTAAAACTGCATAGCAAATAAGGGAGAGACAAAGAGAAAAGAAAGAGGGGCCCATAGACAAAGAAAGACAAAGGCAGTAGAAGAGAGACGAGAAGACAAGATGATTGGAGGGAATGAGATCAGAAAAAGAGGAGAAGGCACCGACCTTGAGCTTGTCTGTCCCTCGTTACATAGCGCAGAGTGAAATGCTATTTGATCATTACAAGTGGATGTGGTTAAGGTCCTCAGAGAGAGACCCCCCAAGAACAGACTCGTGAATCGAATAACACAGTGTTGAAGTTAACATTTGTGCAGGAACATGCAGTTATTGATTTTCATGGTTTTGCAGGTATTATTATTTTTTTTCCAGCCCAATAATGAAGAAAACAACTAATTGAGGTAATGTGTCTCACTGTCACATACGGATCTAATGTACCCAACAACATTGTGGGACGCAGATTATTAAAATCAGAGACAATTATGGCAAATGAGTCAAAACTGTGCTAAGTACATGAGATAAATGATTTGTCAGCACCAAAATCAATTGGTTACATGCGTTCTTTAACCATGTCCAATGGCAAAACACAAATGCCTCAATAATTCGTTATTAGAACCATTGACAATGCACAGGTTTTTTTTCTTCTTGAAATCACTCAAGGACCAGGTTTAAAAGCATTTTTGTCATAATTATATATACGGTACAACCCAGGGATTTGTAATGTAAAAGCTCAGTGAGACTCCCAGCAGCATCAGCCTCACCTTGATGAGTATCCTGTGAGTGTGAATGGTGCAGTCTGGTGCTGCCTAATGTGTTCACATAAATGATTAAAGAGAGCAGCAAACATTGGGAAATGGTTCAATATAGGGCAGCTTCCACTGTGGACCACATCCAGACCAAGTACCATGGTTTTAAATGTTGTGTATCAAGAAAATATTGCAGATATTCTTGAAAAATTTCTAATCAGCTTGAGTTCACTTGAAATGCTGCAGCAGACGGTTTGTTGTATCATCAGACCTGTCCCTTTTCCTTTATTTCTACCTTTTTGGCTTCAGCAAAGTTATCTTTTCTGATTTCCCTGCCTCACTGCTTTGCTCAGCGCACAATGGAAGTGATAGGGGCCGGATAGAGGGGGATCGGCAGTGCCAGATACAACATATTAGCAATTCATAAGTCTCTGACAGCTGAGTGCTCGGCAGGATTTACAATTCACTGTAAATACGCAGCCGATCCCATTCACAGCAGACAGCATGACAGCACACAGTATATTCACTGAATGTGACGTTTTAATAAAGGCAGGTGTGTGCGTGTGTGTGTGTGTGTGTGTGTGTGTGTGTATATGGAGAAATCGTTGTGTGTGTGTTTGTATGTATATGGAGAAATCACTGTGTGTGTGTGTGTGTGTGTGTGTGTGTGTGTGTGTGTGTGATTCCATAACCATATGAGCTGAGAGCAAGTGGCTCTCATTTCTGTTCAAAGGGATCTTTTGAGCTATTTTTGCTTTATGTCTTGATCAAAATAAGGTAATAGTCTGTTAGAAGGTTAACACTTTGAAGGGTTTTAATAATTAGAAGCCTAAACACTTTGAAGGGTAACATGAGTAATTTTGAATGGACTATAAATTAGCAGCTATTAGAGATTATTTAATCTAATACTGCACAAAAATATAAATAATCCATCAAAATAGATATTGTTGCTTATCACTGACAAATGACTGACTCGTTGTGAATACATAAAAAAATTAAATTTCTGCCGAGCATTTATAATATGGAATGTGTTTTTTCATTTAAAACATAGTGGCATCATCTCAGAACCTGGCGTTTAAAGGATTAAAATTCTGAAAATGAATGAATATTTGGTAGTTAAAACAATTTTATTGGTGAAAGTGGAAAATAATGTTGATATGTAGTATTTTTATAGCCAACTAGAGGACGTGTTTGTCCCCAAAGGTACCAAGAGGGAGTTTGTTTTTTTAAATCTGAGCAAAAAATAACAATGCACCAAAATCAATGTTACTAATCATTGACATATCCCAGCCTCTAATAATCCCCCCCAAAAATGTAGTAAATGGAAACAAATGAATTTAGTGTTTTTTTAAATAGACTGGCATTTAAAGGGTTACAATCCCAAAAATACACTTGGTAGTTATAATCAGGACTGATGTTGGTTGAAAGATTTAACACAGTGGTAAATAATATTAATATATATTTTTATATACGTTTTTTTTTAAAGTGGGGCATAAGGGTTAATAACGAATTCTAGCTTTCCGTCTCCATGGTAACACTGCTACATGTCACTAGCAATCAGCTTCAACCATTGTTCTGACTGCCCTGCTGAATTTTGGGGGTTTTGTAGTTTTTTACTGGATGCCATGTCGGTTTGCAGTTCCTGTTGAATCCGTGGAGATGGAATGTATGAAACCTCATGGTTTCACTCTGTAACATCTTCAAGGAAACTGACTGTGATGCAGAACTCTGCTCTGTGATTCAAAACCTTTAACTACCTGACAAAGAGAGATCATTTCATTCATATCAACCCCAGTGTTGCAGTACAGTCCGATCTACTTAAGAGATGATCTACCACGCAAAACCACAGCCTACTAGAGACCACCATGGTCCACTAGAGACCACCACAGTCTACTAGAGACCACCACAGTCTACTAGAGACCATCACAGTCTTCTACAGACAGTGCCATGGATAGAAGTAAGGACCAGAGAAAAGGGGCTGACGATCTTCAGAGCCGTCCAGGACCTCCCCCAACGGTACATGAACTGAAAGTGGCTCTTACTCATGCTGACTTGGAGATATATATGTGCGTGTGTGTGTGTGTGTGGGCACCAATGTGCAAAGGGCATGAATGACAGTAAGCAATTCTGCAGCTGGTCTGATCTTCATTTCAAGCATCTTAACACACACACACACACACACACACACACACGCACACACAGCCCCATCTGGTCTGTTCCTGGGGTTCCTTTCGTGACCGTAGTACAAAAGGGATGATAGAGATACCAGTGATTCAAGGTCATGTGACTGCACCATCAGGTAGGTGTGTGTTTCCGTGTGTGTGTGTGTGTGTGCGACACTGTGCTCTTGTATTGACATTATTGTGAGGACCAGTTTGTGTTTTAGACCTTAGTTGTGAGAACATTTTGTCCATCACTTCTTCAAAGCGCTGTTTGCTGGTTAAACCTTTGTTTTAGGGTTTAGGTTAAGGTTAGGTTTGAAACGATTAGTTGATGTATGCATTAGTCAATCAATAGTTAAGTCTCTTTGCAGTGATGTCAAACACTCGCAGGTTCCAGTCTGGTTATTTCCTGCTTTTCTCTGTTTTTTGTCATTGCAAATATAATTTATTTGGGGTTCTGACTGTTGGTGAAACAAAACAAGCAATTTAAAGATGTCACCTTGGTCGCGTAATGTTTTTTCAAATATTGTATAGACGATTAATCGGTTAATTGAAAGAATGATCAACAAGTAAATTTATAGTGAAAGTATTTGTAAATTGAAGCCCTATTTAGGGTAATGTCTGGGATTAGGCATGTAGTTGTGAGGGGGGTTAGGCTATAAGGACTAGAATATGTATTACGTCAATGCGGGTCCTCACAAGTATAAAAGTATAAAATGTGTGTGCATGCATATGTGTGTTTCACTCTGGCTGGATATGCTTGTGTCAGCATGTGTGTGTGTCTGCCAACATCCTTGTGTGTGTGTAGGTCTATCCATGTGCTTGTGAGTGTGTGTGTGCCTTTTATTCGT